ATACATCACATCCCCGAGGACATTTGACAACAGTCCCTTCAGCAACCCCCACCGTACAGGAAGGCCCGGGACCCAGTGGGGGCTTTGTCGTACAGCAGGCAGCCCCACGGTCACCTCACCACCCCCCCTCACAAAGGCCACCAATCGATATCATCAATATACTTTCTACTCCATACAAAACCTCTCTCCACAACACTTCAAAACAGACACTTGGATGAGGACAGAGTGAAGGATGAGGGAGAGTCGTGAGGCTAGGACAGACACCTACCCATCCTGCTTTCACTAACATCCTTCCTACTTTATCCTCTAACCCAACATACACCTCACAAATAAAACAATTCATTCACAGCCATCACCATCGTCATCAGACGGCCACCATTTTCCACGATAGGTCTAGATGGCGCCGCGACAACCTCCACACGCGTGACCACAACAAACTCGCAACTGGGCTAAGTTAGCGTGTAATATATTCCCTCCTGCGTCTAGACACAACCTTAGTATAATGTTACCTGGACGAACACTCCATCTGGCGGTACTAACATATGCTGGGTGGGTTAAGGTACATGTATTACAGTCATCACCACACTACACCAGGTACCAGACAGCGAGACATCACACCGTCACCACTACACTACACCAGGTACCAGACAGCGAGACATCACACCGTCACCCTTACACCAGGTACCAGACAGCGAGACATCACACCGTCACCACTACACTACACCAGGTACCAGACAGCGAGACATCACACCGTCACCACCACACTACACCAGGTACCAGACAGCGAGACATCACACCGTCACCACCACACTACACCAGGTACCAGACAGTCAGACACCACACTACCTGCACTCCTCTTCCACACGTGAAAAAGTTGGTTGAAAGTCACCACCGGGTATAGTGACCAAGTGTAGATCTTTCATCACTATACCAAGAAAGAATAGGAGGGAGGGAGGGAGGGAGGGAGGGAGCTCTCCTTCCCTACCTCCCATTTATCAACATCTTACAATACGTCTCTCCATCTATTCACTATCTACAGAGGTCAAAACTAATAGATAAATATGACAATTGTTACATGAAATGAGTTTATGAACCCAGAGTTGTGTTGTTGGGAGGAAGGGTAGGAAGAGGAAAAGGAACTGGCGTAGGAGGAGGTGAAGGCAGAAACTTTTCTCAATTCAATGCTTCCTTATTCTACTTGGCATTAGGCGAGGGAAGGAGGCTGACCCAACCTCAACTCACACTCATCCTTCATAAAGTACTTCCCATACACCCAAAGAGTCAAACCAAATTACCACCACTCGAAAAAAAAAATATATATAACGTCACAAGCGGCGGGAGAAAAAAAGGCTGTTTATTGGCTAGCCAAGCATGTAGAGCCCAGCACTCAGCGCGTATCAATTACCCGCGTAAACTTCCCGCCACCACAACATCCACACACACACAGCTGCTGCGGCTCTCTCTGTCACCCTACTGCTACACCACCAACAATTGTCTCACGAAGGCGTAGTGAGGGGTGTAGGGGTGCAGGGAGAAGCCCGAGTGTGTGTGGGGAGGGTGTGGTGGTGGTGGGGGCTGAGGTGTGTGGTGGTGGGGGGCTGAGGGTGTGGTGGTGGGGGCTGAGGGTGTGGTGGTGGGGGGCTGAGGTGTGGTGGTGGGGGGCTGAGGGTGTGGTGGTGGGGGCTGAGGTGTGGTGGGGGGGCTGAGGGTGTGGTGGTGGGGGGGCGAGGTGTGGTGGTGGGGGGCTGAGGTGTGGTGGTGGGGGGCTGAGGTGGTGGTGGGGGGGCTGAGGGGTGTGGTGGTGGGGGGGCTGAGGGTGTGGTGGTGGGGGCTGAGGGGTGTGGTGGGGGGGCTGAGGTGTGGTGGTGGGGGCTGAGGTGTGGTGGTGGGGGCTGAGGGGTGTGGTGGTGGGGGCTGAGGGTGTGGTGGTGGGGGGCTGAGGGGTGGTGGTGGGGGGCTGAGGTGTGGTGGTGGGGGCTGAGGTGTGGTGGTGGGGGCTGAGGTGTGGTGGTGGGGGGCTGAGGGGGTGTGGTGGTGGGGGCTGAGGGTGTGGTGGTGGGGGCTGAGGGTGTGGTGGTGGGGGGGCTGAGGTGTGGTGGTGGGGGGCTGAGGGTGTGGTGGTGGGGGGCTGAGGTGTGGTGGTGGGGGGCTGAGGTGTGGTGGTGGGGCTGAGGGTGGTGGTGGGGGGGCTGAGGTGGTGGTGGGCTGAGGTGGTGGTGGGGGCTGAGGGTGGTGGTGGTGGGGGGCTGAGGGTGGTGGTGGGGCTGAGGTGTGGGTGGGTGAGGGTGGTGGTGGTGGGGGGGCTGGAGGGTGGTGGTGGGGGCTGAGGGTGTGGTGGTGGGGGGGCTGAGGGTGTGGTGGTGGGGCTGAGGTGGGGGGGGGTGAGGGTGGGGGGGCTGATGGTGTGGTGGGGCTGAGGGTGTGGTGGTGGGGCTGAGGGTGGTGTGGTGGGGCTGAGGGTGTGGTGGTGGGGGGCTGAGGGTGTGGTGGTGGGGGCTGAGGGTGGGGGCTGAGGTGGTGGTGGGGGGCTGGAGGTGGTGGTGGGGGCTGAGGTGGTGGGGTGAGGTGGTGGTGGGGGCTGAGGTGGTGGTGGGGGGGGCTGAGGGGTGGTGGTGGGGGGCTGGTGGGTGGTGGTGGGGGGCTGAGGGTGGGGTGAGGTGGTGGGAGATGGTGGGGGGCTGAGGGTGTGGTGGGGCTAAGGGTGTTGTGTTCACTGGGCACACTAACACAGCCAATACTATACTAAACCGGGATTGACTCTTGAGGGATGACCTGAATGATGAGAATTTAAACCATCGTCCTCAGTTAAACCACTGTCCATAAAGAGTTAAACCACCGTCCTCAAGAGTTAAACCACTGTCCTCAAGAGTTAAACCATCGCTCTGACTAATTAAAGATATATATATATATATATATATATATATATATATATATATATATATATATATATAACATGTAATATACCAGAGACCGTGAAGACTTAACAGCAGGCATGGACGGTAGGGGGGGGGTCTCATGTGGCCATGGAGAGGGGGGGGCCGACACCTGCATGTTGAGGGGAATTGTGTGAAAACATGGTGTAAACTGAATCTGCCCCTTCCTTCTCCCTCACCACCATCCCTAACCATGGAGGGGTGAGAGAGGGGAAGAGGGGGGGAGGTGGTTGATGTGAGGTGACAGGCGGAGCACCACCACCATTCACTCACCAGGAAGGGACAGATTACCTCTCCACTACATGTGATCAACTTTCTGGAAAATTCCCCACCCTAAGTTTGTGTTGGTCGTGGTGGTGGTAGTGTGGTGGTGGTAGTGTGGTGGTGTTGTGGTGGGAAGTTGTGGTGTTGTGGTATGTTGTTGGTGGAGAAAGTAACTTACAGATGAATGAAAAAGACGAAGACGAATACACGAGAAAGGAGAGGAATAAAGGAGGTGGATAATAAAGTTTGACTAAAGATACGAAGCAGCGTAGCAAAGATAATGCATGGAGGAGGAGGAGGAGGAGGAGGAGGAGGAGGAGGAGGAAGAGAGAGAGAGAGAGAGAGAGAGAGAGAGAGAGAGAGAGAGAGAGAGAGAGAGAGAGAGAGAGAGAGAGAGAGGACACGTTGTTATGGATAAGATTTGGGTGGTGGTAGGGGTGAGTGTGGTGGTAGGGTGGAGTGGTTGGTAGGTGAGTGGTTGTGGTAGGGGTGAGTGTGGTTGGTGGTAGGGTGTGGTTGGTAGGGGTGAGGTTGGTGGTGTGGGTTGGAGGTGTGGGTGTGGATTGGTGGTAGGGGTGGGTGTGGTTGGTGGTAGGGGGTGTGGTTGGTGGTAGGTGTGGTTGGTGGTAGGGTGTGGTTGGTGGTAGGGGTGTGTGGTAGGGGTGGGTGTGGGTGTGGGGTTGGTGGTAGGGTGAGGTGTGGGTTGGTGGTGTGGTTGGAGGTGTGGGTGTGGTGTGGGTGTGCTGTAGTATATGGGTAGTATTGTCAATGGTAGTAGTAGTAGTAGGCATGCGATGGTAGTGCAAGGAAGGAGTGTGTGGTGCAGGCGTGGGGAGCGGGGCGTGTGGTGCAGGCGTGGGGAGCGGGGCGTGCGGTCTCGGGAGGTGATCTATATATATGTGGGTCGACCGTGGGAAACTGTGGATGGGTTAAGCTACCTGCACACACACACACACACAGTGAACGCCGTTGCATCCTCACTACACAACACCTTCCCTAGCCCTCCGAGCTTCGTCTTGTGGTGAGAGCAATAAATAGAACTGATAAAGAAGACACAGAAGATAAATATATAATAATAAAAACTAACAGATCTAAGAGAGCCGAGAGGGAGGGGGAGGAAGGGGGAAGGGAGGGGACAAAGCGTGGAAGACTATTTCTGAAAAAACAAATATTAAATCATAAGTCCGCTAGCGCTGATCAAGGCCTACACGAGGGGAAGATGTCTGAGTAGTGACCCAAAACGAATGAGAGAGAGAGAGAGAGAGAGAGAGAGAGAGAAATCCTCCATAGGTCAAGCTAAGAGGGCGGCACTGCGTCTCGTATAGTAATTAAAAGGGAAGCCTAACCGATCCCCTATGTGCACAATGGAACACAGGGCCTAGGTTCATGTGGGTTAAAAGGTGAGAAGAATGACCATAATTAGCACATTCTTGGTCACGGGAGACACCTGGCGGAGGAGGAGAACATCAACCTAACCTAACTGTGGAGGACCTGAACGAAGAGGTGGTGGTGGTGGTGGTGATGTGGTGATGGTGGTGATGGGATGGACAAGGTGGCAAAAGTGCCAGGGTTTTGTAATCTCCTCATTCGTGCCCACTACATGAGTATGTATCCTACGGAGCATGTATCCATGTATCCTCCCCTGCCACAGATGCCCTGAACGTAAGCTTCACTAATGAACCCCACAGGCCTTCACTACTGTAATGACCATCAACGGAGACAGACAGACAGACAGAGACAGACAGACAGACAGACAGACAGACAGACAGACAGACAGACAGACAGCTCCAAGAAAAGTTCCACTCGCAGTTGTAGAGGATGGACTCGCCGATCTTGACGGTATCCGTTGAGGCAGTACCAGGCGGCATAAGCAGGCGGACAGGCGTACGTTTGGAATGTTATATTGGGCCGCATCGTGGGCGACGGCGGCCGAAGGCTTGGGGGTCGACCGTGACGAACATCCCTCTGTAACACACCACACCAAGGTCAGCTACCCTAGTAAACACTGTATAACATCAACGACAATAATAGTAATAATGACAACAATAATAATAACCGCACTATCACACTCCTCCACAACACCACAGCAAGTTTCAACCTTCCCCTCTTCTAACCAACCAACCACCCACCCACCCACCCAATCTACAACCACAAAACAACCCCTCCTCATACACCCCCTTCCTCCCACTCCCCTTCTGCCCTCCCCCTAACCCACTTTCCACCTCTATCCCCACCCCCAGCAGGTTCAACAATCATTCCTAGACAGACCTGCCCAGGATGCTACCAAGACGCAGGTAATGACAGGTAATGATACAGCACAGGTAAGTAACACTACTACCGAGGACAACACTACCGAGGGCCCCGATGACAACACTACTGAGGGCCCCGATGATAACACTACCGAGGGCCTGACGACAACATCACTGAGGCCCTGATGATATCACTTCACCGAGGGCCCTGATGATAACACTACCGAGGGCCCCGATGATAATACTACTGAGGGCCTGATGACAACACTACCGAGGGCCCCTGATGACAACACTACCGGGAGGGCCCTGATGATAACACTACTGAGGGCCCTGATGATAACACTACCGAGGGCCCTGATGACAACACTACTGAGGGCCCTGATGATAACACTACCGAGGCCCTGGATGACAACACCACCGAGGGCCCTGATGATAATACTACCGAGGCCCCAACGACAACACTACTCAATGAGGGCCCTGATGACAAACCCTGCATGCTGGTGTCTTGAGAGTCTGATACATACATACATACATACATACATACATCTCTTGGTCTACCCACACAACCCAGTTTCTGCTCACACATACACAAGCTCATTGGTACACACACATATTCACAAGACACAATACTATAGCTCTGTCCTCTTGTTCCACCTTAATACCCCCCTATGTTGTACTGCTTCCTCCTTCTATTAATGTATATCAACACCTGTAAAATATGTATATACTTATAATATATATAAAAAAAATTAACTGGATAACCATGGTAACATGTTATTACCACCAAGCTATGTGTACTATACTAAATGTTCCATAATACTTCCTTGAGATAAATGTACAGTATATATCAGGTGCAGCTCAGGCTCTCAACTGGCTCAGCCATGTTAATATTGTTATTATTATCCACTCTGTATCTGTGTTCTGGCTAAATAAACTGTTTCAATATACACTAACACACACACACACACACACACACACACACACACACACACAACACTGGAATTTAATAATAAGCACAAGTATGCGGGTGGTGAGCCAGGCAGGTGGCTGTGTGGAGGCATTTGTGCATCGCCTTCACCACCACACCACACTCCCTATCACACCACACCAGGTTCCTTCACTCTACATAACACCAGTACAGAACCCCCCCCCTCCTCCACAATATCTAATCACCTCACCGTAAACACCTGAACTATTATACACGTCAATCAGTAATTCACTCTAGTTTATGTCCCAAATAACATGATATAAGCAACAGTATCCATCATTAGTACAACGGTAACACACGTAATCTCTCTCCCATCTACCCCCACACTATTGTGTCCTGGGTTCATTGCCCATACACAGGTGAGAAAGGTAGGTGTGTGTGTGTGTGTGTGTGTCCCTTCCCTAATATGGACGAGTTTTTCAGGTACTTTTTAATTACCTTCTGTAACTAACACTGGGTAATTAAAAGGTTTGTAAAAAAACCAATGATCAGGTGCAAGTGAAAATGTTGAGTAGACCATTTTAATAGTCTCGCAATTACCCACTGGTCCCCCTCGTGTACCTGAAGTAGTAGTAGTGGTGGTGTGATAACGAGGCCACAGAGTAGGCAGTAGTCAATGATGTTTGGGGGTCTGGGGGTCTGGGGGTCTAGGTGGGTGTGGGGGTCTAGGTGGGGTCTGGGGGTCTAGGTGGGGTCTGGGGGGGTCTGGGGGTCTGGTGGGTCTGGGGGTCAGGTGCTGGGGGGTTCAGGTGGGGTCTGGGGGCCCAGGTGGGGTCTGGGGCTCCAGGTGGGGTCTGGGGGTCTAGGTGGGTCTGGGGGGCTCAGGTGGGTTCAGGCTGGGGGGTCAGGTGGCAGGTCTGGGGGCCCAGGTGGGGGCTCAGGTGAGGGGACAAGAACACACCTCCACTACCAAGACCACGTTGAGACAGGGATTTCGACGCCCCTAAAAGCCCTTGGTCAATCTCCACACCGAAACTGACACACAAGACATGATTAGTTTCTGAGACGGCAGTAGGGTAGGGTTAGGTTAGGTTAGGGTTAGGGTAGGATTAATTTAGAAGTCAGCTCCTTGTGGAAGGTCAGGTGGTGTGGTGGCAGTATGGCGGGGGCCCCTCTCCCCAGTAAGGCTTCACACTATAACGAGATGCCTACTACATGTTTCAACCCCAGTTCACATTATCTGACGTGTGGGCTGGTGGGGAGGGGGGGGTGAGGGTGGGGGGGGTGTGAGGGTTGGTGGGGAGGTGAGGGTTGGTGGGAGGTGAGGGCTGGTGGGGAGGTGAGGGCTGGTGAGGTGGAGGGCTGGTGGGAGGTGAGGGCTGGTGGGGAGGTGAGAGGCAGCAGGGCAAGGGAAGGAGGTGTTTTTTGAATAGAGAAAGGAGGGTAGAGAAGATTAGAGGTGGGGAAGGAAGTTATAGTTCGAAATTGAAGAAAGTTAGGAGGAGGTAAGAGAGGGCGGGCTGACTAAGCTAATAGTGTGTTAGGGTTGTGTCATGGGTTGTTATTGTCTGTCGGTACAGGCACTAGACATCCTACCCTGTCCCATATATGGGTGTTTTGAGGGTCAGCAGGGGAGGGGTGGAGGGCAGCAGGGGAGGGTGGAGGGGTAGCAGGAGGAGGGTGGAGGGTAGCAGGGAGGGGTGGAGGTAGCAGGAGGTGGAGGGGCAGGGAGGGTGGAGGGGCGGCAGGGGAGGTGGAGGGAGCAGGGGAGGCGGCAGGGTGGCCAGAGGCAGATTACAACCCTCGATACAACAGGATATCCGCCATCATTAAAATACTCATTAGTGCCCTGAGGTACGAGATGACTCCTGCCCGACCTGCACCTCCCCGCACCCTAGCACCTCTACCAGCTCAGAACTTGGAGGTGCAGTCCCACATCACATCCATAGATTGACAGATACACAATTATTCAGTAAAATTACCATACACATTTACATACAGATTGAACATATGTATAGACAATTCAGGCATATACACAATATATATATATACCTGTATATAATCAACAACCTCACCAGCCAGGACTCGAACCCTCGACCTACTGTGTCCTTGTGGCATGGTCGGTAACGTTCCCTGGTCGCACACAGTAGGTCGAGGGTTCGAGTCCTGGTTGTTGATAATATGTTCAAAGTCCACGCGTTATATGGACTAAAAATGAAGTATACCTGTATATATATAAACAGTGCAGTCATACAAACAATGTACACACACACAACAACCAGGTCAGGTCAGGTCAGGTTAGGTGTGTACTAGTGAACCCAGGACCCAGCAGCAGGAGGAGGGTGAGGAAGAGTAACGTCCTGTTTACCTATAAGAGTTTATTTATAATCATCAACACTACGACACCCACACACACCTAATAAAAACTAAACCAACCTAAATCGGCCCACCCTGATCTTCTGTAACCTAACCTAACCTAACCTAGCCTAACTTATTTCAATATGGAATACTTGATTTCGTATTTTTAGCAAGGGTGTGGAACCTGTTGGTTGAGTCTGCCTCCTACAAACTGTGGGGGCAGGAGGAGGTGAGGAGGAGGTGAGGTAAGAGGAGGAGGAGGTGAGGTAAGAGGAGGTGAGGTAAGAGGAGGAGGAGAGGAAGAGGAGGAGGAGGTGAGGTGAGGTAAGAGGAGGAGGAGGAGGTGAGGTAAGAGGAGGAGGAGGTGAGATATCCCTTAACAGGAAGACCGTCATACCGGGAGGACTGGAGACGCCAGGTGGCCGGGGCGCTGCCTTAGGTCCTCCCCCTCACTCCTGCTACTGCTCCCCTCATCACTGCCCCACCCCCTCACCCCCTGCTGCTCCCCTCATCCCTGCTCTTCCCCCTCACTCTAGCTCTCACCCCGGTCCTCCTCTCACTGCTGTTGCTGCCCCCCATCCCTGCTCCTCCCCCACTCCTGCTGCTGCTCCCTCCTGCTGCTGCTCCTCACCCCTGCTGCTCCTCACCCCAACCCTACTTATAGGGGTTGGGTGTAAACGGGACTGCCCAGTATGGTCCAATAGGCTCGCTGCAGTCTCCTCCATTCTTCTGTTCTCCTCACACCACCCTGGGTCAACATCATCACCACCACCATCACCACCACCATCATCATCATCATCATCATCATCATCATCATCATCAACCATCATCATCATCATCATCATCATCATCACCACTCACCACCATCACCAGACGAGGCACCACACAACCAGGGAGGGGAGGAAGAGGGAGCTGAGAGGAAGTCCACCTTGGAGGAAGTTAAATGTCTGCCACCGGAAACCTGGGACCAAGTGCTGAACCAGGTGAGGGTGGGGGGGGTGTAAGGTGGTAGGAGGAGAGGTGTAGTGGTGATGGTGAAGGGGAGAGTGTAGTGGACAAATGTAAAGTACACAGTTTAGGAGATGTAAACAGGGAAACCAGATACCAGATGAACAACGATGCCATAGAGAAATCCGACTGTGAGAGAGATTTAGGAGTAATGATAAGTAGGAACCTTAAGCCAAGTAAACAATGCGTTTTTGCTCGTAACAAGGCTAATAAAGTACTTGGGTTCATACAAAGGAGTGTTAGTTACAAGACTAGCGAGGTCATCCTAAAACTGTATCTTGCGCTTTGAGACCTCACCTGGATTACGCAGTTCAGTTCTGGTCACCGTATTACAGAATTGATATAGAATCCCTGGAAAGAATTCAGAGGAGAATGACAAGACTAATCCCGGGCATTAAGAACCTTGAGTACAGAGACAGGTT